ATTGATTTTAAATATTATTGTAATCTTGGCAAAATAATTTTTGAAAATATATAGTGCACATCAACAAATGTTACATATCAAATTACAACAAAGCGTTGTCTACTCAATCCAATTCTTCAAGTCTTTCTATCCTGCGTATCCTCTACCTTGAGTTGTTTCTCTCGCATTGACTTTGCAATGCCTTCATTCCAAGATATTCTCGGTCTTCCACGTTTCTTCCTACTTGGCGGAACCCATTTAAATAACGTCGTCGACCAGCGGTTGTCATTCCTGTAAACCTCTTACTTTGATTCTATCTATCACTGTGAACGTTGTTTTCATGCGATTTCGAATTTCGTCATTAGTTATTCATCGCATTCTTGACACCTTGGCGATTCTTCTCAAATAGTCCATCTCGAACGCCTGAAGCCGTCTTTCTAGATCTGCGTTTACTACCCATATCTCACTACCATAGCCTAGGACGGACTCTACTAGTGTACTTCCTAGTCCCTTTTTAGTTCCTCTTCTTATGTTGAAGATTGTTAAAGCATCCTAGAATTTTTCTGCTTTCAGTTATTCTATGTTTTATCTCTCTTTCCTCTATACCATCTACAATCCTATCTACAATTACTCCCAAATACTTAAATTCCTCAACTTGATTAATTATTGTGTCGTCATTAATTAATATTTGAAATTTGGGATCGCTATTAATCACTAGATAAATTCTAAATCATATGCGACCTTCACCAACATTACCTGGTTATTCGTATATTATAATGAAAAAAAGATTCAAGCTTGTAACTTGGACTTTGAGAGTTTGTAACTTGGAATACACAGAGTTTAGCACTAAAACAAACACAGGTGATAGATGTGAGGAACTAAAAAAGTATTTTTAAATTTGCTCAAGTGTCTATAAATCAGAATGTTATTTTTAATAATTTAATAAATGTAATTAATTTTATTTGGAAGAAAAGGGTATATATTTAAAAAATGAAATTCAACAATTTACATGTATAATATATTTATGTAATTCTGTTATTGATTTGACTGCACTGCCGTCCAGGCCTTACAACAAACATTTACAAGAAATTCAGCAACACCTTCCATTTATTTTTTATCTCAATAGAAGTTTCACTTCATATTCGGTTTTTTTAATTATCATATAATCAACAACAATGGCACTCTGTACATGTACGTGTAAAATAATATATCTATATATATTCATTTATTATTTATAATTATGTATAATATAGCTGTACATCTTTTAGCATTGTTTTCATTTTTTTTGTTATATTTATAATTTCTGTATAATATAGATAATATTTTCCCATTTTTATTTTTTTTTTAATTTTAAATTTACTACAATTTTATTTTCTTTATTAATTGCAGTTTTTTGAATCAAATTACTTTTAATTATCGTTATTCGTTTAAATCATTTACTGCGGAATAATAAATCATTTTTTTTTATATTCAGTAAATCTACGTTCGAAGGCACTTCTTTGTAACAAATTTCTCCTCCAGAAACAACAACATATTTTTTGTTTTCGTTTTTGTTTTGTTTTTATACAGGACGTGAGATTACACAATAATAACCAAAAACCGCACGTTTACTAATTATTTTATAAATTAAGTAACGAATCCCAAGTTTAAAAATGTAAAAAAAAAATCAATCGACATGATTCGTTACCCGCACACCAAGTCCATATTTTTTAATTAATCCAAATTAATTAATTAATTAATTACAAGTTCGCGCCATACATTTTTTACATTTTTTTTTTCTTATAGAAAAGGGAAACCTACACCGATGACTAGTGCAGAGATACTGGCAGCATTTTCGTATGTAATGCAAGCGGTTTTTTTTATTCGTTTACAATAAGAACGGACAAGTGAGGTACATGTAGGTTGTAACGACTTTATTTTACGCTTGCTTTTTATTATTATTTGAAAAAATCACAAGTTTCCTTTTTGTTTTTTGTTTTCCTGTGTCATCGAGGTTATATTTAAAACGTGTGGAGTAAAAATATTTAAAAATAACTTTATATATTCTTGAATTAGTAAAAATTAAGAACTCAAAATTCCCCGGATATTCAAATTACACATCTAGAGAATATTTAAATATAATCTCGATGGCCTTTGTTTTGTTTATCAATCACTTTACATTTATTTTTAATTTTTCTTTTCGGAGGGAACTGTCACTAAAACCCACATACAAATTTACTGTTATCACAGCCAAGAATTCACGAAAAAATAACGTACAACATTTTGAAACAAAAAAAAGCTTAAAGAATTCTTACCAGTAAAGTACTTGTATTAGTACACAAAGTAGTAGTACACGGTACACAATTTTTTTTTTTAACAAATTACATTTTTTCTATGTTACATAACAATTATTATTATAAAAACGATTACGTCATCCTTAAATCCGGACGAAGTGTGTGTGTGCTTTTAAAATTTTAACAATTACAAGACAGATCTTTAAAAAAAGATTTTCAAAAACAAAAAATTGGTAATTCAACCAGGTTAAATTGATAATTTCGTAAAAAAACATTAAAATATTATATTGTGCGCGTTTTTTTTAAATTATTTAAAGTAAAAAAAATTTTTTTTAACTTCTTTTGCTTCCGCAAAGAAAAGAAAGCAAATATTTATCACACCTCTTTCATGAGATCAGTGGTGATTTACTGAAATCCAATTCGTCGTCTCACCTGATTCCTCTACATTTATTATAATTTTTTTTTAATTATTTTTTTTTTCACTTAAAATAGATTGTTCGCAATTAAAACGATTTCTTATTTATATCACTTGTCATAATACTCCGGTTCAACTTTTAAGCACGGTCGTCTCCCCGTAAACCCACAGAGATTTTTTTTTAATTCTTTTTTTATTTTTAGAAATAATCCCAATTCAATTCTCCATGCATTTTTAGAAACACAAAGATATATGCGCGTTTTTTTTGTGTATAATATTGTCATGTATACCGTTTCAATTTCTATCTTTAATTTATGGATTCATTGCACACGCGATTTCATTATAAAAAGACTACTTTATATTTCCACGTTGGGTATTCCCCACGTAATTTTGAAACAATTTATTAAACAGATTCTCTTTGTATCTGACTGAAATCCCAATAAAGGACAAGAAATTTTGAAAATTCTGTGTAATCTTGTAGTAAAAGAATTATACAGTAAAACCTCGATATAACGGACTTCGAATATAACGGGCAAATATTTTTAAGTTATACTATTAATATTATTTATTTAAGATGATATCAATACATTTCAATATAGATGTTAGAACTCATAGATAGAATCCAACTCGGGTTATTCCATACTCATAGATAAACTTGGGGTATTCCCCCAGTTGTCTATACAATTTATAAATCAAGAACATTAGAAACACTAGAAACATTCGGGTTTAGCCGCCTTATGACGTACGGCTAAACGCGAACGTTTCTAGCTCTAATGTTAGTTCCAGTTTTTGTTCTGACATCGAAACTAACACTAAACCTAGCATTAAAAACATTCGGGTTTAGCCATCTTAAGAGATATGTGGCTAAACCCGAATAATTCCAGTTTTAGGTCTAGTGTTAGTTCTAGTTTTCGTTCTGACATCAAAACTAACACTAAACCTAGCACTAGAAACATTCGGGTTTAGCCGTCTTAAGAGACATGCGGCTAAACCCGAATATTTCTTGTTCTTGGTGTAGTGTTAGTTCTAGTTTTCATTCTGACATCAAAACTAACACTAGACCTAGCACTAGAAACATTCGGGTTTAGCCGTCTTAAGAGACATGTGGCTAAACCCGAACATTTCTAGTTTTAGGTCTAGTGTTAGTTCTAGTTTTCGTTCTGACATCAAAACTAACACTGGACCTAACACTAGAAACATTCGGATTTAGCCGTCTTAACAGACGTGTGGCTAAACCCGAACGTTTCTAGTTTTAGGTCTAGTATTAGTTCTAATGCTAGTATTAGTTCTAGTTTTAGTTATAATTCAGCGCTAGATTGTTGTATATTTTTCATTGAACTAAATCTAGAACTAACACTAGACGTGGATCTAATACTAGACCTAGAACTAGAAACATTCGGCTTTAGCCGTCTTAAGAGACATGCGGCTAAACCCGAATATTTCTAGGTCTAGTGTTAGTTCTAGTTTTGTTCTGACATCAAAAGAACACTAGACCTAGCACTAGAAACATTCGGATTTAGCCGTCTTAACAGACGTGTGGCTAAACCCGAACGTTTCTAGTTTTAGGTCTAGTATTAGTTCTAATGCTAGTATCAATTCTAGTTTTAGTTGTCATTTAACGTTAGATTGTTGTATATTCTTCCTTGAACTAAAACTAGAACTAACACTAGACCTAGAACTGGAAAAATTCGGGTGTTAGTAGATGTTAAATTCTAGTGTTAGTTCTAGTTTTAATTGTAATTCAGTGGTAGATTGTTATATATTTTTCATTGAACTAAATCTAGAACTAACACTAGACGTAGATCTAATACTAGAACTAGAAATATTCGGCTTTAGCCGTCTTAAGAGACGTGTGGCTAAACTCGAACGTTTCTCTACTTCTAAGTGTAGTATTAGTTTTAGTTGTTATTCGACGTTAGACTGTTGTATATTCTTCCTTGAATTTGAACATTTATCATATAACGGACACTCTCTTCCCCGTATAAATCCGTTATATCGAGATTTTATTTATTTATATTATTATTTAAATAGAAATATAAAGTGTCCATCATTTTTTACATAAAGGTGTCCCAAATTCTTTCAATAATTTTAAGACTCCTAATTACAACAGTACCGATCGGAATACCTAGTTATTTTGATTAAAAAAACTTCTCACTCCCTTTGCATCTCTAATCAAATATTGTCTAATTACACATTTAATAGCACCATTGCGGAGAAGCTCTACTATCAACAATACGACAAAAACACCGCTTTCTTTCATATTTTATCCCCCTTCTTAACGACTGAAAATCAAAAATTAGGTAGAAAATCAAGCGGAAAAAAAACAGCTGCGGTTGTTCTCGTCTTCTACCGATTTGTTTCGTACAACTATCTACAAATAGCGTTAACGATAATAACTATTATATCTACACGAGGAGGCCCCTGCCGTCTGACCGATGTTATTCAACTTTTACCGTCTTCCTAGATGCTGTGACGGTACCCTCATCTTCATCGTCTTCACCGATTTGTCCGGGTGCCGACCACCGTCTCTTTTTCATTAACAACACGGAATCGGGAGACTCGGCTGAAGTTGGGACAACACCGGTTGTGGCCGCTGTTGTTGGTGGTCTCCCGGTTATGTGACTGATACTGTGATTCGTCGGAACTTTTGGTTGCTGCAGGTGATGAACGTTTCCTCCCGTTTGAACTTGTCGCACGGTCATCGCCGTTGTGGTGGCCGTTGTCGTGTACGTGGCTGCGCACGTGGTGGATTGAGGGACCATCGTCGACGTCGACGTTCGTGGAGTCAACGAAATTATCACGTCTCCTACTTGCAAACGATGCACCTTTAGGTTGTACGTTTTTAACGTTCGGTCTGGGTTACAGGATGCCCAACCTTTTCCATAAACGAAAAATGGATGTTCTAGTGGATATTCCACTTCAGCCTAAAAACAATAAAAAAAATTATTTAATAATTTATATAATTAATTTACTATAATAAAAGTCGTTACTTATATAAACTACGTGACAAAAAAATTGCTGAGTCACAACATGTAATTTATATTTATTTCAATAGTAAATCATAATTGAAAAAAAAAAAAATACCAACAATTTATGCAAAAAAAAAGTTACAACTCCAGGATTATTTATGGACTGTTTAACTTTGTGAGGCATGCTCTGAATGAGATGATCAATGGTATCTTGTGAAATCTCATCGAAGGCATCATATCCTACATATGGTCGATAGGGTTTAAATCTGGAGAGCCAGCAGGCCAGGAGAGAATTTCTACTCCTTCTTTGTGTAGGAAGTTCTGAAAGATGAGGTCAAAATGAGGTGGGGCGGTATCCTGCTGGAACATGACGTCAGGGCGTTCATTTAGCCTGGGTATTACAACGGGCTGTAAAACCTCGTGGATGTATAGGTGTGCATTTAAACTACCATGAATGATAACTAGAGGTGACTTATACTCCATCGATATGGTACCCCATACCATAATACCAGGTGTTTTGCCGCTGTGACCTCGAAGGGCAATATCCTTCGAGGCTCGATCATTTTGCCACAAACAGAACCGGGATTCGTCACTAAACATTATGTGATGCCATTCAACGATCCAGCGTCGTCTTTCTTGGCACCATAGAAGTCTGGCTCTTTTGTGAAGTTACGTCAAAAGAAGACGTCGTAAAAGTTGGTATGAATGGAGATTAAAAGATAAAATTCGTCGGTACCCAGTTTTCAGCGACACTATCTGCCTCAGATCTCTCATCTAGCCAACACCAATTGCAGACTCATTTGTCTAAGGCAATCTTTACGTCCGTTAGTCGCTCGAGGATGTTCGCTTCCAGGACGACGGTGTTGGTTATGTTCATTGATTGTTTCGATTCAATCCTCGTGCAGGCCAACAAATCGCTTTCTTTCAAAGTCAGATAATTGGTTAAAGCGCGGTCTTCTACCAATTCTAGGGATTGTTAACAATCGAAGAAACAACGTTCACTTACCAAATGGCATTTACTTTCTGATGCAATTTTTAACATTTCTGTTACAGATTGTCTGTTTCACAACAAAAAACCATATAAAAACTTGCAATTCTTCATGTACCGATATGATGCTTTTATCACCGACTTTTTACATGCATCCAGTTGTTTTCTTAAGATTCCAGCTTGATGAGTCATATTTTCGAGATGTTGGACTTTTTTGACACGTAGTGATTGATAAGTTTGTTATAATTTTGTTTAGATGGTTGATGTTCATTAGACCCCATGCATTTTTTCAACTTGTAGGTGGATCATTGAATTACCTTTTAGTATATTTTTTTAAGTAACACACGTACTATCACTAGATAACATCAGTGATGAGCGCTGGGTAAATACCCGGCGGGTAGATATGTCTAAAATGGGTATTTATCCGGGTATTTACCCCGGCCCAGGGTAAATACGCAAACAGTGGGTATAAAAGTGATACCAGTAAAAATATATCAGATTTAAAAAAAAATGGAGGGGAAGATGATCAGGACGTTGAAGACATCATTAACATTATCATTAAACGAATCTGTCGTAATTTAGATTAGATCAAATTATTATGATTATTATCATCAAGCAGTCCTCTGCGCCCATTGTTGGACTTAGACCTCCCCTAATGCGTTCTATTCGATTCTATTCTGTGCTGTCTGAATCCAATGTGTAGGTCATTCTTTTGACGTCTACTTAGTCTGTTCGCTCGCGGTCTCCCCTCAAGCAACCGTTTTGTCCACTGCTCATTCTTCATACGCGTGACATGACCCGCCCAGTTCCACTTAAGCTTTTCCACAATGTTGATCACATCATTTACGCCAGTTCTTCTTCATAGGTCTTCATTTCGTATGTACTCCTGGTTAGAACCAGGATCGACCTCTCCATCTATCTTTGCGTTACTTGGATCCCCCTGGCAGTGGCTACCGTTAATGTTAAAGTTTCGGAGCCTTTTGCCATAACCGGAAACACGCATTGATTGAAAACCTTTCTTGCCCTTTTCTCTTGAAGATGTCTCTAAGTTTCCCGTAGGCTGCCCATACGAGTGTTATCCTTCTGTTTAGTTCGCTTGTTTGATTATCTCTCGATACACCGACCTCATAGCCAAAATATACATGGCTGTCAACCCTCTCAATCTCATTATCCCCAATGTTGATTTTAGAGTTGGAAACAAGATTTATCATAAATTTTGATTTCGCCTCGTTGATATTTAGCTCGACTCTTTCACGCAATTCCTTTAAGTCGTTCAGCATTAGTTTAATCTCTCTTAGGCTATCCGGTATAAGAACTATATCGTCCGCGTAGCGCAAATGACTTAAGCATTTGCAATCAATGTTTAAGCCTTTTTGAGTCCAATCCAGTAGTTTAAATGCACTCTGAGGAACAATTTGAGTTCAAAAGTGTATCGCCTTGTTTTACTCACAATCAGTACTTTACTACTTCTACTTCTTCGGTAGTTTCATGCAATTTTACCGTCATTGTAGCATTCTCATAGATGTTATAAATAAGTTTGGTATATCGATAATCGACTCTGCATTCTTAAAGTGCTTGCAAAACTGCCATCAACTCAATTTAAATGAAATTTTATAACTACCTCTAAATACCCATCTTGGGTATTTACCCTTGGAAATAAATGGTATTTAACAACACTGGATAATATACAATGCCTCAAGAAAGTCTGTGAGCACTCAATTTTATATTTTTTTTCGAAGAAAAGTAAAAATATACAGTGATAGAAGGTGATGAATCTTGTTAGGATTGATAAGAAGCTCTGCGAAGAATAAGCCTTCGTACATCAAATTCCAAAAGTATTCTTAATCCCAAAAAGGCAGTAAGTGCACAAACTATTGGATATGCACCTAGGAAGAAACTTATTATACGTTTGTTTTTGTAAATGTTTATTTACAAAAACCAAGACATTTCCAAAGACAATGATTTTTGGAAACCAGTAATTAAGGACTAAAGCTTGAGAAAAACGTAATGAAGCCTTCAATAAAGAAAAATTTGCTCAATTAAACTCACAGAACCGTCGTTGTAAGATTTGGACGCAGATAAAGTAAACTATTTACATTGTAACTTCCTTCCTATGAAGTATTTTTGATCAAAGAAGTTGTTGAAAACTCATCATTTGCACGACTCAAAACAACAAACCCATTTTGATTACTATTCTTGTCTGGAACTTCATCTATGGTATACACATAATTGTAAATTAATATGATTCCTTGAAAATACTGATATTGAAGGATCTTTATGCACTCATGTTGTTATGATGGATAATTTTTTGGAGTTGTTTCAAAATCTGTTCCCAATTAGTGTGCGCTATTGGCAGTTGGAGGTAATTTTAAAAATACATTTTAAATTATTATTCGTGATTAATAAAATATGAATGCAAATTGGTTTGGTGCCAAAACAATACATTTTATATTTAAATATGTACTTCTATTTTACAAAATATATTTCAATTTCTGTTTGAATGGAAAATCAATTTTTAAAACAATATAAATGTTGAATTTCGCCTCTTTATTCAAGCGATAATTACAGATTGCATCTACAATGTTATGAATAATGTATTTCCCCGCCTATATAATATCTTCTATTATAATTTACCCTGTTTATTATTTAATTCTAAAACCTGTAGTTTTTTCTACATTTTTATGATTCGTAAAAATAATTATTTTAATATCAGGCGTAAAAATCTTGCGGTATAATAAAAACTTTATATTGAAACGACTAATGGAATTGTAGGAATGAGTAGTGGAGAGAAGAAGTTCGCGACATAAACGGTACACACGCGAAGTAAACGATAACGATCCGGGAATAGTGGATGAGCGATCCTCTATATTTAGCAGCGAAAGTTCCACGCTCGTATCGTAATATTTTCTGTTGGCAACGTTCCCGAGGGGGGACTACCGCCGCCGCCTTCTCTTCACACACACACGTAGTAGCCGGTCGAGCGCTAAAATAAACGCGAGAGTTTATTTATTTTTCGAAGGGGTCATCGTCGAACTGATTCATTATAAACGACGATCGCCTCTCTTTTCGTCTCCACCCGTTCGCAACAACGTGGTTGGCCGCGCCAGACTAATAAACAGCCCATGCGTAGCACGCTTTGCGATTGACGGACCGACCCAATTTTAAATTTCGCTTTTACGCAATATTAAAACGTACGCAGTGTAAAATGCCAAAGGTCGAAGTCGAAACATACTTCCCGTTCAAATTATATTTACTCACTCGCTAGTACATTGATGTAAAAATGTATCTTATATTGATACTTCAATGTTAATATCATATTAACGATGTCACTTTCAGAATGAATTGGATCATAATCAACTAGCATAAGAATCCATTTCTCATTGTATTAGTCTGCGCAAGTTAATTCAGCGTTGGATTGAATTGACTTCAATTGGAATAGTTTAAATAGTACAGCAAAACCTCGATATAACGGATTAATACTGGGAAAGGAGTGTTCGTTATAGCCAAAAGTAAGTTATATGAAAAATTGTGTTAGTTCTAGTCTAGTTTTAAAACAGCTCTAGATTATAATTAAAACTAGAACTAACTAACCAGAATGTTTTTCTGCAAAAAGGCAGTAGGTATATAGCAAGCTACAGCCTCAGCTGTATACCTACACTATGGAGAAAAGTAAAGGTGGTAGGCCGATCCCAAGGCATACAGACTAAATTACCCTAATTTCATTTCTCCTCAAAGGGATGGAAAAAGTAATTGATCAATACCTTAGAAATGGAGTGCTTGTCACTCACTAATCCACTCCATCAGAGTCAACATGCTTACCAGAAAGCAAAATCAATAATTACTACTCTCCATGCTTCGACAAGCATTTTAGAGGAGACTATTGCAACCAAAGAGATAGCCCTATGTGCTTTCATAGACATAGAGGGTGCTTTTGATAACACCTCCTACGAATCTATAACGAATTCTC